TATGTTCAATTAAACCTTTTTAGAGCTATGTCAATTTAGTTGATCCTCGAAAGATTAAACCTATTTTTGTGGTTTAAAACTTGTTTATTTTTTTAAGTTCCAATATTTAGGTTAATTTCTTAATACCTCCCTAAATATCTAAAATTATGAAGAAAAAAATGGTAATTAATCGCTTTGCACAAAAGATATAAGATCAAGAAGAGAATAAGAATAAACAATTGAATAATTCATAAAAACAATTAGAATATTAATTTTTAATAAAATAGTACTCTAAAATTAAAAAAAATAAAAAATAAAAAATACCTAAAACTAAAAAAAACCTAAAACTAAAAAAAATTAACAAAATGACTCGTTACTTGTATCTCAAAATTAACAAAAATAAAAAATAAAAAAAATACCTAAAACTAAAAAAAAACCCTACTAATTAAACGGACAAAATTAGAATATTAATTTTTAATAAAATAGTACTTTAAAACATAAGATATACAAAATAATTACTTAAATTAAATTAAAAAAATATTAAAATATTTAACAATTATCAATATACAAGAACTACCAAACTTAAAAGGACAAAATAATTAAAATACAATGTACGTGGTATCATTGATACATTTTTGTTTTGTATAAGTGTACGCAATGAAAATACATTGTGAAAAATCTATAATAAATTCCAATAAACAAAAAGGACAAAATATGAAAATAGCTGCACTCAAACAAGAAATGGACTGAACATGTTTGCAATCACAATTTTCAGCAACATAAAAGATGGCAACCCAAATTATTACCTAATCAACAACCAAGATGAGCAAAACATTAAAGTAAAAAAAATTTGTTATACATTTTCGTTATCACTCATGTACAAAGATTGAAATGTTCACAATGTAATGTCATGCACAAGACAAAAAACACAAAGGTAAAGGATAAGGGAGAAACCATAGGAATTAAGAGATGAAGAGATAGTGTTGACAATAAAGCCAAATAATTTGAGGAGACCGATATAGAAAGAAAAATCACTCTATCTCTGTCCAAAAATATGTGATGCTGGTTGGAATAATGTGTTATTCATTTTGTTTCATCTTCTTGTTCTCCTTGAATGGTGTTCTTGATTTCTTCCATTTTGAAAGTCCAAGAGTTGTTAGCGTGAGTGAATGAAAACAATTGCTATCACTCTATACATCCTCTTTATGGAAAAATATTTGAAACCCCAAACTGAACTCGGTTATTGTTTTAGGTTTCTATTGAGAAGGCAATTTTTTTTTTTTTATTTCATAATAAATACATAGTGAAATAATTTTGGTCAAATTCAATTTAATTAGTTTTTTCAAAAATTATCTACTAAAAAAATCTATCTTATTTATAATAAAGCAAAAAATTTCATCGTATATTTTTCACCTAATAATTTTTTTTTTATATTATGTAATTTTTCTTCATTAAAACAATGTCATTGTATATTAGTGTTTTTTTTTTTGACAATATATTTTAATCACTAGTAATAACATTATAGTGATATATTATTAGTGAAAAATTTTATTATTATAATTATTATTAGTGACAAAATAAAATTTAGTTAATAATAATATATTATTAATAAAAAATTTTACTTTCATCGCTATATTTTAGTTACTAGAAATGTTGCTCAGTGGTTATCTTCCATACCCCTTATTCCCTCATTCTATCACTATGTTCTTTTTTTTTTTCTCTCATTTTGGCTGGACTTAAGTATATGAGTTTCTCTTGTTGATCAGTATTTGTGATGTTTCTTATAACATAACTGTCACTGTCAGACAATATCAATCACATACACTTTACCATGCTTTATTTAAATTTAGTCATTAAAAGCCACTAAAAGTCATTAGAAATGTTGCTTAGTTGTTATCCTCTATATCCCTTATTCCCTCATTCTATCACTATGTTTTTTTTCTTTCTCTCATTTTGGCTGGACTTAATCTTTGAGTTTCTCTTGTTGATCAGTATTTGTGATGTTTCTTGTAACTGTCAGACAATATCAATCACATACACTTTAGCATGCTTTATTTAATTTTAGTCATTAAAAGCCACTAGAAATGTTGCTTAGTGATTATCCTCCATACCCCTTATTCCCTCATTCTATCACTGTGGTTTTTTCTCTCTCATATTCCCTCATTCTATCACTGTGGTTTTTTCTCTCTCATTTTGGCTGGACTTAAGTCTATGAGTTTCTCTTGTTGATTAGTATTTGTGATGTTTCTTGTAGCGTAACTGTGGGATAATATCAATCATATACACTTTAGCATACTTTATTTAATTTTTGATAACATGTTAATAAATAAGCTAACATTGTATAATTTAAAAATTATGGAGACCGAAATTGCAATAAAAATTTTGGAGACCAAAATTCTAAATTCACAAAATTATATAAAATAAAAGTGAATTTTAACAAAAAAAAATGTTTTATTTAAATATATATTTAATTAGTTTTTCAAAGAAATCATATATATGTTTTATTTTCTTAAATTATATAATTAATGTATAAAATAAAAAATTTAGTAATAAACTTTATTTATGATAGAAGAGAAAATAACTTAAGTTTTATATATAAAATAAATTAAAGTTAAAAAATTATAAGTTTTTAATATATACTAAAATATGGTATAAGTTTATTCACGATGTTATTTAATTATTGATATTCTTACATTAATTTCCCTAATAATATATTTATAAATAAATCATTAATTTATCATTAAAAATATTTATATCCTATATATACTTCATTAGAATTTTTTTATAATGTATTTTGCATTTTTACTTATTTATAATTAATTTTATCATAGGACACATAAATAACCTAATTCTAATTAATTATAAAGTATGTGTGTGCATGAGATGAAGTGAAAATATAAAAGCTAGGAAATCTTCAAAATCTTGTAGAGAATTATTATAAATTATTCTTTTTTGGGGGTGAATGAAGGTTCAAACCTGCACTAACATAATGACCTCCTTGTCTCAGCAAGCGAAATGCAAGTGCATTGACAAATTCATTAGCATGATTGCTCAATATCAATTGTTGCTTTTGAAGAGCCACTTCAATCTCCTCTTCAAAGTGGTGTTCATTGCCAAGCCTTTGGATAATGTCAATCATATGCAAACTCTTCATTGGATTATCGTTCATAAGTTTCTTGCATTCATGCTTAGCTTCCTTCAATATCAAAGTATTTTTTGACATACAAAACATCTTGAACATGTAGTTGAAGATTAAAATTATATGTGTGTGAACATTAAAATTGTGTGTGTTTAAGAAGGATTAAATTGCTCGAAGGGTACTTCTTAGTAAAGTTTCGTTAAATTAAAAGTTTTAAATGTATAGATAAAGTCTACAAAATTTAAAAAATTTAAAATTATTTAATATTTTATTTCGTTAATTCAAATTGACAGATAATCATAAAAATATTTTATATATTAATTTAAATTTATATAACGAAATATTATATGGTTATCAATTTTTTTTTAAAAAAACTCCACAAACATATACCATAAATTATTAAATGAAATAATTTTATCAAAAATTACTTTTAGAGTAATTTAATCCTCTGTATATATTCACGTATTCACATACATATTATAGCATTACCACCTAACTTTAGCATATATTCACGTATAGGTTACAATTATTTCTTAAAGTAAAATAGGGGTGTAAGTGAGTTGGATTAGATTGGGTTTGGATGAACCCATTACTCGACCCAATTAAAATTTAACGAGTTGGATTGGTTGGGTTTGTGCAATTTTATTTTAAAATTCAACTCAACCCAACCCAATCACAAACAGGTTGGGTTGGATTGAGTTAATCGAGTCAACACAATTAAATTTATTTATTTTTATAAAAATTTAAATATTTTAAAATAAATGTAAATCATTTGATATATTGTTACAAATATAATGTTATCAACCTATAAAGCAAACAGTGATACAAATTAAATTCTAAAATAAATTTATTAAATTTTTATGTTATTATCAACTAAAAAAGCTAATATTAATTAATACAAAATAAAATTTAAAATAAATATATTTTATTATTACAATTCTTCCAACCTAAGACACAAAACTCGTTACTAAATAAGAGTGATAATGAGTATTATCCTGAATACATGATCATTCAAACATTATTATTATTATTATTATTATTATTATTATTATTATTATTATTATTATTATATATGACCAAATTGGATCGAGTAAAGGATTGAAAACACAAAATTCGTTATCTGAACTATACAATATCATATATTAGTCGAGTTAGATTGGATTTAATTCAAATATTGAAAAAATTCGATTCAGGCTCATTAGATTGGTGTGGGTCAATTTGAATTCACGAATTATACATTGTGACTTACACCCCTCAATAAAGCACACTTACAATGATGGAATATGCTTGATATCCATACATACACTTAATTGTTACATAATAATAATATTTTTAGTATATATTGATAGCCAACGCGGAATGGCTAAACGAATTCTCGAAAGTTATTGCCCCTAACTCCTTAAATTCTCTTAATCCCAAGGGGGGTAAGCCAATATTGTCAGTCACATTTGGCGGCCTCTAAGGAATTTGGACCATCTCGAATTGGAGAGCTAGCCCGTAAATATCATTTTCGTCTCAGTTAAAATTGCGTTCTTCATTTGATTTTGGACTTCATTTACATCTCCACCTTTGTAATTGGTATCATTCTTATAACCTTTTAGTAGGGAAAACAGTCACTTGATGTCTCTTAATTTTTTTAGAAATTTAAAAAAATAAAGAAAGATAATTTAAGAGTGATTATTGATAATTATTTAAGAGAGGGTTTTTTTTTCTTCTTAGGATATAATGATCTTTTAAAAGTGAAGACAAAAAGAGTTGCACTATCACATATCTCTTTTATAATAAGTACAAATGTATATATATCATCGGCCATTAAACTTTCAGCCTTCGTACCAAAGCGGCCCAACAACATATTTCATGCCCAACATGTGAACTCCAAACATTACACCAACATGATAACACCTTGAGGCATTGTGCTGTACGATTTTACAAAACACACTCTAGGCAAAACACTCTCATCACATTCACACAAAAAAAAAAAAAAAATTGAAGAGAGAGAAGAGAAAAAAGAAAGGTACAAGTTGTTTTGTTTGAACATATATGAATCATCACACAACACCACCTTATTACAATAATTAACACTTACTTATGGGAGTCTTAGTGAAAACAACCCCAACAATAATTACAACTAACTAAATTATACTTATACAACATATGTCATCCAATAAATAGCTTCTCTTAGTCTGTAATTTTATTTGTTTTTTTCATAATCGAGCTAGTTCTATGTTAAATTTGTTTGGATACAAATTTAGAAATATTTTTGTGAGTTTTCCTATTAAAAAATACTCTTTATTTTTAATAGAAAAACTCTAAAAAAAACTTCTAACTTATATTCAAACATGTTTGCAATTTTTTTTATTGCTTTAAATATTAGCTTAACTAGCTCTATATAATTTTTTCATTTTCCATAATTGAGCTAGTTCTATGTTGAGTCTGTTTAAATACAAGTTTATAAATATTTTTGAGAGTTTCTCTATTGAAAAATATTCTTTATTTTCAGTATAGAAACTCTAAAAACACTTCTAACTTATATTCAAATATACTCGTGATTTCTTTTATTGCTTTAATAGTCTCTACTATTTATGAGTTGATGAAGTAATTGGGAGCTGTTGGGTTTCGGTCTCCTTTACTGTTGCTGTTGACGGCAGTTTGAGGACTTCATAGTCCCTGGCTTTGCCCCATACCACTGAATAAAGACCCACTACGATAATGATGGCACCTATGATACTGGTATAAATGATATATAGACAAAAAAACATTGTTCAGAAATTAACAAGAAATATAACAATACACCACTATGCTTCATGTGTGCTAATAATTTTGATATATAATATTAATAAAACAAATTTATACATAACCATAATTCAATATCTTAGCATATGACTTAATTTATTTTATATCTAAAAATTTATAATCAAATCGAGCTATTGACCCTTATGAATGATATCGAAAAAAAATGGTGGTATTTAGTGTAATTTACTTGTTATTGTGAAAATTAATAAATATTGGGAGAGATTTGTTGATGTATACTAAATTTTGTTGTAACAAATAGAATAGTATTAAAATTTAGGAGTGAATAGAAAGATGAAATGGATTAAAAGAGTTACCTTCCTAAGTAGAGCTGTTCTCCTAGAAGAAAAGAGCCCAAAGTAGCAACGATGATCATTAAAAGAGGATTAAAGGATGTCATAAACACTGGGCCTCTGCTTTTCATTACAAGCCCTTGTACATAATATGCTATGCCTGAACTCATTATTCCCTGCAATTTTCAAACCTTTTTTTATTGTCAAAACAAATCTTAAATTTCAATATTTTGCTTTTGAGATAAACTAATAAGATATATTTTTTTTTTCTTTTATAAATCACATGTATCCTTTGTTAAAGACAATCGCATTCAAGTGACTATAATCCAATTTCCTATTACACCAAACACACAGTAAACGTTATCTCCGACACTATATGACTTATGTTTTTCTCCCTATCTACCTTCACATGGAATGGCCCATAATTTTGTATAAAGAAATTGTAGAACAAAACAAAAGTGCTTGCTTTTAAAATACGATGATTAGAAACCAAAACAAAACCTAAGATATTATATGAATGAAATAAGACATGTGATGAATTTGAGTTGGACTATTTGTCGGACACTGAAAAGATTTATGACAGTGCAAAAGTCACCGGTTTTAAAAGTAATATATGTTCTCATAAAAAAAAAGTATTATATGTTAACTAAAAATATTAGTTAATATTATTTAATTTTATTAATTTCATTTATATAAATAACTGGTTTTTCTGAACTATTTTTATTCAATTTATATAAAAAAGTTAAAATATATATTAAAAATATAATTTCAATTAAATAAAGAATATAATGAAGATAATATTTAAAATTTGTTAATTTAAGCCCAACATACAATTGTTTTATTCAAAATTTAAAGAAATATATTACTATAATAATTATGACTATAAAAAATCTCAATTACAACACTACTTAATATTTGTTTATTAGATTACCTCAAAAAATTATTATTAATTTACATTTTTCTATCATATACGTGCATCACTATGATCTATGTGATTTTTATTTTTATTTTTGGTTTAAGAGGAGGTATAACTAATTTTCTTTGAATAAACTTCTATAGAGTAAAGTGATACACTCAGAAGCAACTCTATTTTTAAGTTGGAGATCTTACGTCAATCCTTAATTTAAGAATCAATTGAGACAAATCACTTTATTTAACGATCTTTAGAATTTCATATTATTAATATAAAATTATTTAATACTTTATTAATATACATCAACATTGATGTAATATATTTTTAAAATATACAAAACGCCAATGATTAAAATAAATATAAAATTTGTTAAGATAGAGGTTTAGAAGTATTTTTAGAACTTTTCTATTAAAAAATAATTGTTATTTTTAGTAGAGAAACTTAAAAAAGAATGTTTTTAATTTATATCTAAACATACTCTTATACAAAACGTTATTGATTGAGACAGTACTAATCAAGTAAGGGCATAAATGACAAAAAGAGTATGTATATAGAGCCATAAATAATGATGAAAGTTGTATTGATTGTTTCTATATTCTCAATTATTGATTTGAATTAACTTTACTTACAGCGTAAAGAGGGCCATAGAGTGTGAAGTCGAAGCCAATAGCCCAAGCCCGAGGGTTACGATCTGCTATCAACGCAACCACAGCACTTTGCAGTGCACCCATCAAGCATATCAACGACGACAGTGATAGTTCAGCAGGGCACCC